TTGCCTCCGCTAGGCGCGGTCACGCCTCGGTGACGGCCGATCAGTCGCTTCTGAAGCGCATCAGGGAATGTTCGGAGAAGGATCGGGAGGTGGCCGAGGCCCTTGAAAAGGTACAGGACCTCGGGCCGCCCCGGCTGCAAAGGGGTTTTGAGGAGTGGAATGCCGAACAAGGGCTCCTGCTGTTCCGCGGGTGCATGTACGTCCCAAAGAACGCAGAGCTCCGGCGGGATATAGTCAAGATCCACCACGACTCGCCGATCGCCGGTCATGGCGGTCGTGCCAAAACCCTTGAGCTCGTATCGCGGAACTACTGGTGGCCAGGAATGTCCAAGTTTATCAATGAGTACGTAAGCACCTGCGACGTGTGCAACTGTACCAAGACATTCCCAGCCAAGCCTCAGGGTCCGCTGAAGCCGAACGAGATCCCCGAGCGCCCGTGGCAGATCATCACCACGGATATGATCGTCGGCCTGCCAAAGTCTGATGGATTTGACTCGATCCTGGTCACCGCCGACCGCTTCACAAAGCAGGTCCACTTCTCGGCCTGTCACGAGACCCTGATGGCAGAAGGTGCGGCAGACCTGTACATCCGCGATGTGTTCAAGCATCATGGGGCCCCGGCCAAGGTCATATCAGACCGAGGTCCCCAGTTTGCTTCGAAGTATCTCCATGCGGTGTATAAGGGGCTGGGAATCGAGCCGGCGCTGTCCACAGCGTTTCACCCTCAGATGGACAGCCAGACTGAGCGCTGGAATCAGGAGATCGAGCAGTACCTGCGTGCTTTCATAAGCCACAGGCAGGATGATTGGGCAAGGCAGCTGCCGCTCGCGGAATTCACACTGAACAACCGAGTTCACTCCGCGACTGGGCACTCCCCTTTCTTCCTGCATCAAGGGTACAATCCTGAGATCCAGGTTTGGATCAATCCGATGTCTGCAATGCCTGCGGCCGCTGATCGGCTCAAGATCTTAAAGGAGATCAGGGATGATACGCGCTCTGCGCTTGAGCTATCAGCCAAGCGTATGAAGGTGTACTACGATAAGCACGTGCAAGAGGCACCGGTCTTCGCGCCGGGGGACAAGGTCTGGCTTGACGCTCGGAACCTTAAGCTGAAACAGCCGAGCAAGAAGCTCAGTCCCAAGCGCCTCGGACCATATGCCGTGCGGCGAAAGCTCGGAGACCTGGATTACGAATTAATCCTGCCGAAGTCGGTGCCGGTACACCCGGTGTTCCATGTCTCCTTGCTGAGCAAGTACACACGTAGCGGTATCCCGGGCCGGGAGCCGGAGGAGCCGCCGGCGATCGAGGTTGAGGGCGACGAGGAGTACGAGGTTGAGCAGATCAAGGATTTACGGATCTTCTGGCATCAGCTGCAGTACCTTGTCGAGTGGAAGGGTTATGATGACTTGCATATGTCATGGGAACCAGCACGCAATGTTGCCAATGCACCGGCCCTCATAGCCGACTTCCACTGGAAGAATCCAAATGCCCCTCACTGCCTTAATGCTGCTACTTTTGGAGGTCTCAACTTCCAGCCGATGCCTTCGCCGCTGACTGAAGCACGCTGCCGCTCCGGGTGGGCGATGGGCAAGGGTGCCTTATATGAGGTCATGCGCCGTTGAGGGGGGGGTAATGTCATGAGTTGGTACAGTGTCTAGCCATTTTTTAATTTTTCCTTTTCACGGGCTCGAACCCACGACCTCTGTACTACATATCCGATATGGACTTATCACTATCTACTGTACAATTAGATTAGATAGGACAGCAGTGCGCGGTGCAGCTCGGGCTCCACTGACACAGCCGCTCTGACTCACTGGCCCCTGGGGCCATGTCAGCATGTTGCACATGGACCAGCTGCACACGGACCAGTGTGCACAGCCTACCCTTATCTTCCCCTGTATATAAGCCGGCCTCTGCTACCCTAGGGACCTCAGTTTTGACCTCTTGTCCCTAGGTTAGTAAGCCTTCTCTTGTATCCTTTCTTACTTCACTAACTAATACATTTACTTGTCCCTAGCCTTAGGTTTGAGCATTGCTCACCATTGCTTCAGTGAGAACCAGTCGAACACCCTTAGCTGTTAGGTTTTCCCCTGTTGCTTGACCTCAAGTTGCGACAAACAGGGCGAGAGTCCCCACGCTGCAGGCAGACATTGGACATGGTATTAATAACCTTTCCGAGAACAGCCAGAAGGGCAAGGCGTTCTTTGCAGGCTTTTTCATTCCCCCTCCTCCTGCGCATGTCCTGAACATTGACCCTAACACTGACTACCCCGAACCCACATTCCGTTGGCAGGCAATCACAGACTCTCAGATCACTCGCAATATTGGATGCTTGGCTCCATTCAAAGCCCCTGGTCCAAATGGCATTGTGAATGCTTTTTTCAAGGAAACGTGTAACCTATTGACCCCCCATTCAGGCCTGATCTTCCGAGGTACATTCACGCTCAAGCACTACCCCAAAGAGTGGAAAATCTCGAAAACAATTGTAATATAAAAACCTGGCCGACCGGATTATTGTGTCACAAAAGCATACCGACCCATTGCTCTTCTTGACACCCTCAGCAAAATCTTATCCACCTGTGTTGCGGAGTCACTTGTCCATGGCGCAGAATTGAGAGACCTCTTGCCCATGACCCAATTTGGAGGTCGCCCAGGCAGGACCACCACAGATGCACTTCACTTACTCATTGACAGGGTCAAAACAGCATGGTGTCGTGGTAATATCATGTCCATAATGTTTCTAGATGTCAAGTCTGCCTTTTTGAGTGTTGTCCTGGACAGACTAATACATGACATGCACAAGAAGGGTGTCCCGAAAGTGATACAACGGTCTATACTCCTGTATCGATGCCTGACTCGTAGACGACGAGCGAGGACTTATGGACAGTGCGTCGTCCTGAAAATCGAGCAAGGAAGTCGAGAATGACCACTACTCCAAGCGAAGAGGAGCAGAGACTTGAATGAATAACCAGGTCGAACTTAGGGTTTGACCGACTAATGGTACAACTACTTATACAAGTACCGACTACACACGGACCATCGTGTCTATGTGGTCATGTTAGTAAAGGAAGAAATGTAGTGGTACAATACCAGGCACGAAGTGCACATGGACCCCATTATGTAAGCTACATAATGTTCAATCTGCGGGTGAGCGCTAAGACAGGCGCCAGTATGGGCACTAGTAATACAAGAAATAGAACGGAAAGACAAATGTTTCAGAAAGAGCTAACTGACTAGACCTACAGAAAACTCACAGGGTGCACGACCACCATCACCTTTGACAGCTACACCAGTAATATTCCATCACTTCTACAATGCGTACATGACTGAACTCGCTCGTTCTGACAATGGCGAGGGAATGTCCGGATTTGTTGATGACTCCACCTTCCTTGCGGAAGCCAAAACCTTCAAAGATACACATCACAAACTTGACCAAATGATAACACGCCCTGATGGCGCGTTGCACTACGCACACAAGCACAATGTCCAATTTGAACTTACAAAGACGGCCCTTTTAGACCTGACTAGGAAACGAGAATGACCAACGGGCCACCCGACTCGAACACGCCCCATGACGCAACCCACCTCAGTCATTGCAAAACAGCCAATAACACCCTCAGCCTCTCACAAGTACATCAGTGTCATCCTCGATCAAGAGCTGCAATTCAAAGAACATGTGGCCTATGCCCTTGGCAAAGGGCAATTCTGGGCAGCTCAACTGTGGCGGCTATTGAAACCAATGCAGGGCATGCCCCTTCGCTTCTTCTGCCAACTGTACCTATTAGTCACAGTCTCACACATACTCTATGCTGCTGACATTTGGTGCGCGCCAACCCTGACGAGCACAAAGAACGGACGACGCCCGTCACAGCATGTGTGGAAACTTATAGGTGTACAACGCCTGGTAACTATGCAGAGCCTTGGAGCCCTACGCTCCACAGCAACAGATCTTCTCGATGCACATGCTGACCTACTACCAATAGATCTTCTTGTAGATCAGATTGTAATGCACTCTATGCTACGACTTGTAACCCTCCACCCGAGCAATCCCATGTGCGCAGTGGCAAAGAAGACCGCACGCCGCCTTGTCAAACAACACTGTACTGCTCTGCACCACACCTTCCAGATCTTCAGTGTCGACCCTGACCAGACAGAAACAATCAATCCAACTCGACTCAGCCCAAACTGGGAGCCACGGGTGCACATTGCACCCAGCGCAAAAAAGGTGGTAGAGGAGGCAGAATCATGCCAAGATGGACACAAGATCTGGATGGACGGATCTCTAATTGACGGAGGAGTTGGAGCTGCAGCAGTTCTGGAGAAAAACGATGAGCACAAGGCTGTCCTGCGGAAATACCTTGGGAGCGGCACCGAGCACATAGTGTTTGATGGTGAGAACATCAGCCTCGCACTGGAATTGGAGCTGGTATGAAAGGAGCGCAATGTGCACAGGGTGTCCGCTTTTGTTGACAACAAAGCCGTGCTATTAGCTACCGGCAACACTCATGCCCGACCAGAACACCACTTAATGGACATCATTCACAAGCAGATTGACCATCTGTCCCAATGCCACCCCTGTCGCGACTTGAGGTCAAGCGACAGGAGAATACCTAAAAGCGAGGGGCGTCCGACTGGTTCTCACCGAAGCGATGGTGAGTGAGGCTCAAACCTAAGGCTAGGGACAAGAATATATTAGTTAGTAAGGAAAGGTAAGTAAGTACAAGAGAGCTTACTGACCTAGGGACAAGAGGTCGAAACTGAAGTCCCTAGGGCAGCAGAGGCCGGCTTATATATAGGGGGAGATAAGGGCAGGCTGTGCGCGTTGGTCCGTGCGCAGCTGGTCTGTGCGCAGCATGCTGACGCGGCCCCGGGGGCCGGTGAGTCAGGGCGGCTGTGTCAGCGGAGCCCGAGCTGTGCCGTGCGCTGCCGCCCCATCTAATCTAATCGTACAGTAGATGGCAACGCGTCCATATCGGGCAAGTAGTACAGAGGTCGCGGGTTCGAGCCTGCGAAAAGGAAAAAAATTAAAAAATGGCTAGACGCCGTACCAAGTCGTGACATTACCCCCCCCTCAACGGCGCATGACCTCATGCGAGGCGCCCTTGCCCATTTCCCACCCGGAGCGGCAGCGTGCTTCAGTCAGCGGCGAAGGCATTGGCTGAAAGTTGAGACCATCAAATGTAGCAGCGTTGAGGCGGCGAGGGGCATTCGGGTTCTTCCGGTGGAAGTCGGCTATGAGGGCCGGCGCATTGGCAACATTGCATGCTGGTTCCCATGACGTATGCGAGTCGTCATAACCCTTCCACTTGACGAGGTACTGCAGCTGACGCCGGAAGATCCGCGAATCCTTGATCCGCTCAACCTCGTACTCCTCGTCGCCTTCAACCTCAATCGCAGGCGGCTCCTCCGGCTCCCGGCCCGGGATATTGCTACGTGTGTACTTGCTCAGCAAGGAGACATGGAACACCGGGTGCACCGGCACCAATTTCGGCAGGACTAATTCATAATCCAAGTCTCCGAGCTTTCACCGCACGGCATATGGTCCGAGGCGCTTGGGACTGAGCTTCTTGCTCGGCTGTTTCAGCTTAAGGTTCCGAGCGTCAAGCCAGACCTTGTCCCCCGGTGCGAAGACCGGTGCCTCCTGCATGTGCTTGTCGTAGTACACTTTCATGCGCTCAGCTGACAGCTCGAGTGCAGAGTGTGTGTCGTCGCGAATTTCCTTCAGGATTTTAAGGTGGTCAGTGGCAGCGGGCATCGCGGACATCGGATTGATCCGAACCTGGATCTCAGGATGGTACCCCTGATGCAGGAAGAATGGGGAGTGCCCAGTCGCGGAGTGAACTCGGTTGTTCAGTGTGAATTCCGCGAGCGGCAGCTGCCTTGCCCAATCATCCTGCCTGTGGCTTATGAAAGCACGCAGGTACTGCTCGATCTCCTGATTCCAGCGCTCAGTCTGGCCGTCCGTCTGAGGGTGGAACACTGTAGACAGCGGCGGCTCGATTCCTAGTCCCCTGTATACCGCGTGGAGATACTTTGAAGCGAACTGGGGACCTCGGTCGGATATGACCTTGGCCGGGGCCCCATGATGCTTGAACACATCGCGGATGTACAGATCTGCCGCTCCTTCTGCCGTCAGGGTCCCATGACAGGCTGAGAAGTGGACCTGCTTTGTGAAGCGGTCGGCGGTGACCAGGATCGAGTCAAATCCATCAGACTTTGGCAGGTCAACGATCATATCGGTCGTGATGATCTGCCATGGGCGCTCGGGGATCTCATTTGGCTTCAGCGGACCCTGGGGCTTGGCTGGGAATGTCTTGGTATGGTTGCACACGTCGCAGGTGCTTACATACTCATTGACAAATTTGGACATTCCCGGCCACCAGTAGTTTCGCGATACGAGCTCAAGGGTTTTGGCACGACCGCCATGACCAGCGATCGGCGAGTCGTGGTGGATCTTGACTATATCCCGCCGAAGCTCTGCGTTCTTTGGGACGTACACACACCCGCGGAACAGCAGAAGCCCTTGTTCGGCATTCCACTCCTCAAAACCCCTTTGCAGCCGGGGCGGCCCGAGGTCCTGCACCTTTTCAAGTGCCTCGGCCACCTCCCGATCCTTCTCCGAACATTCCCTGATGCGCTTCAGAAGCGACTGATCAGCTGTCACTGAGGCATGACCGCGCCTGGCGGAGGCGATGCGGAAGCGCTCTGGCTTGAGAACTACCTGATTGGTGTTATCGTCCTCATCGCCGATCTGATGGTCCGATCGTCGCGACAGGGCATCAGCCTTTCCATTCGACGTTCCGGCCTTGTGCGTGATGCGGAAGTCAAAGCGAGCCAGGAAGAGCGACCACCGCGCTTGACGACACGTGAGATGCTGAGATGTAAGCCAGTACTCGAGGTTCTTGTGATCGGTAACAATCTCGAACTGATTGGGCAACCCTTCGAGGTAGTGGCGCCAATCGTCTAGTGCCTCAATGATGGCAAGCATCTCCTTGTTGTAGATCTCGTAGTTCCGCTGGGCCGGATCCATTGCATGGGATCTGAAGGCGATGGGATGCCACTTGCCGTCATCCTGCTTCTGCATCAACACGCCACCAGTGGCGTAGCCCGAGGCGTCAACCTCAATGCGCGTCTCCCGATTAGGATCGTACAGTGCTAGGACTGGAGTCGTCGCGAAGAGCCGCTTGAGCTCGTCGAAGGCGTGCTGCTCCTCTTCGCCCCAATGCCATGGGTTGTTCCCTGTGAGCCGGTCGAGTGGTCGCGAGATCTTAGCGAAGTCCTTAATGAAGCGGCGGTAGAAGTTGGAGAACCCCCGGAACTTCTGGACGTCCTTTTTGTTCCGGGGTACTGGTGATACGACCTACGAAACCCTAACCCCTAACCTGGGTGCGACCTAAAGGGACTAGAGAGACGGATTATAGTCTAATGAGAGGGGAGTTAGCAGCAAGGTGTCCCGCGGATCGAGTGAACACAAGAAACGCCTTCGGAAAAGGCTACGAATGCTAGGGAAGGTACGAGGTGGCTTCGACACGTCGTCGAAGCTACTCGGAGGCTGTGGAAAGTTAGCAACGATCGAAGCTCGGTAGAGCTCTTCGACGTATCGTAGAGAGAAGGGACACGATTCGATAGGGGGGACTTAACTAGGACGCGGTTCGAGGTGCAACGCAGTTTCTTCGACAGTAGTCGAAGTCGAAAGGTTCGTCGAGACGGTATCGACGAGTGAACGCAGTGGACGAGGTTTCGAGGTTACGCAGTGAGGAACGAAGTGACGCAGTTGAGGACGTAGACGCAGGGCGAACTCGACTTATGAGCTCTGAACTCGAA